ATTTGTTTTTAGTGTATAATCAAAATTCAAAAGAAATGTTCTAATGCTGACCATTTTATTTCAATTTGGTTCAATTTTTCAAAAATTTTAAATTTCTATTACACCTAATACAGTGTTGAGCTTAAAACTTGCAACATCCATTAAAACTGTACCTTTATATCTTGTTTCAAAAAATAACATTATGTTTCAAGGTACTGTTTTGTTCATTAAGTAGCCTGTTTGATAGCCTCTCTACAGTCTGAAAGGCTGCAGGGGCTGCAAGTCGTTCACACTATGGAGGAGTGTAAAAAGCGACGTGTGTGAATGGGTCCCCTGCAGGGACACTGCTGAACATCGACTTTAACACACATACACATTCAGGTCCCCTCTTGGCTAAAGTTAAAAAAAATTCACCAGATGGTTTTTCACATGATTTTAATATGATTTAAAGCATGTCCAACAGGGGACCTAAACAATGCCCCCTGTTGGTTCCATGGTCCCCTGTTGGTGAATGTGTAATGACGCCGAAGTCCAATAGATACACAAGTGCACACAAACACACACACACACACACAAATACACACACAGAAGATAAGCATCCCCGCAGAACACAACGCAGAGTTTTTTTACTTTATTGTTGCAGAAGAAACCACCCCCACTTATCCTGGAACATAAATATTTTTTATAAAGATCAGCTCTCAGTGTGACTGATTAGAAAAGAGCAGAGAAGCAGAGTTTCTTGTTGACCAGCGGAGTAGTGCGCATTGATGCTGACAAGGGGCGCCAGACTGTGCCACCCTTATACAGTAAAGGCTAAAGATGTGAAGTCTGAACTGAATAAATGTCAGCACTAAACACTGTTTGAGACTTTAGATTTTTTAAATTGTTATAATAACTTGTTTTGTAAATTACAGCACACTTGTAATAACAATAACAGTCTGAAATACCCTTTTTTTGTAAATATGTTTTATTGTTTTTTTACAATTATTATCCCACAGAGATGAAAAATACAGAACATATGCATATCACTTCAAGCTACACATTTATCTCCAAAATGTAGAAGTGAATTGTTCAGCAGATACGTTGACACAGTGAGTTCACCATTCCCATCCCCTCCCATCCACACACCCACCCACCCATCTATAGGTTTATAGGATATAAAACACACTTGGGGAGTAAGAAAACAAAAATAGAGATAAAAGAGAATAACAAAACAGACGCAATCACAACAACAACAACAACAAAAATTATCAAACGATCAATCGTGTATGAGTTCCACCCTATTCATTGTCAAAGGGCTCCTGCAAGGAGTCATAAAAGTCAAGAAAGGGCCTCCATACTTTGAAAAAGGATTGAGAGGATCCTTTGAGTGTGTATTTGATTTTTTCTAGCTTTAAGAAATACATAACATCATTGACCCAGTGAGAAAAGGATGGAGGAGCTTGTTGTTTCCATCTGAAAAGGATCAAATGTCTCGCAACAACTACATAGGCTATAGCTGGTAAGACAGTCCGAGTTTCCACTGGTGTCAGACCAAAGAGGGCACAGATCGGATCAGGATCTAACTGGGTTCCAAACATCTCACTAAAAGCTTTAAAGATACTTACCCAAAAGGTGGAGAGGTTCGGACACCGCCAGAACATGTGCATTAGGTCTGCTGGCTGACCTCTACATCGGGGACATAATGGGTCAGTATTCGGATAGATCTTTGCCAGCCTGGCCTTAGTAAAGTGAGCTCTATGTTGAAATACTTTTTACAAGCAAAAATAATGAGGCTAGTGAAGATGAACACCTCTAGTTATGCAGTGGTAAAAAAAATCATGAATAGAAATTAAATTATTTGATGCATCAAGATGCATTGATAATTGTTTAATCATTGAATTGTAGCCCTCTGAATCAGAATCAAATCGAATCGGGAGGTGCCTAGAGTTTCTCACCCCTACTCTCTTCATGTGGAGTTAATTTTGTGAATAGCCTCATGGAGCATTATTACTACTAGCTGCTGTTTCTATCTGGAATATGTCTCATAGTTACCACAGTTGTCTGTCAATGGCTGTGTGTGGAAAAAAGGTGAGTAATGCATCAATGTGTGTCACATTCAAAATTAAAACCCTGGATTTTAGTAAATGTTACATCTTTCCTAAGAGATCTATGTTTGCAGGGTGCTTAAAATATGTTTTAAAAGAGATTGACAGAATCGGAAAATCAAATTTATATTAATGCCATCTGTATTTTACAATGGTCGTTCATCAATCAGTCTATTAATTTTATTTCAAGGCTACCCTGTCCCTTGGACTGTTTCCAGTGTAGCTCATATAAATTAGAACTTTTATCCAATCAGATTTCCACTCATGCTGTTTCCGGGGGAAGAAAATCTACCCTGAGGCCCTCAGAATTTCGAATGAATCCCCTCTGCTGTTGAGACAAATGGGGATAATAATGTGAATTGTCATATTCTTTAACCAATCAGATTTCAGGTTTGCCATGTTGGGCATATTTGTTTGACATGTCAGGGCCACATTTTATGTGTGGCATGATCACTCCTCCCTCCTCGACCCTCAGCAGTTTTAGAAATACTAAAATCCTTGATGTGGCCTTCTCTGACTTAATGCCCCAAAACTCTCTTCGACCTGCCCAGGCTTAAATTGACCTGACTGTTATGCATGCCATGAATGATTTTGAAGGAACAAGCTCTGCTCCTCATTTTCCTTAAGCAGAAAGTGGGTGCATGCCTCAACTTTTCACATTGGCATTTTTAACGATGACCATCTGTCATGACCTGGCTCAATAGCCATGACATGAAAGCCAAAAAAAGTAATTTATTTAAATAAAATGATCAGACAATAAACATAACCCAAACAAGGGGGGTAATGAGGTGTGTTCATCATTGTAATCAGTAGTGAGTGAGTGAGTGTGGATGCATGGATGAAGCGTGAGTGTGGTGTGGGGATGATGTTGGATGCAAAAGAACAAAGCAACAATGAGGCTGTTATAGTGTCTACTTGTTGAATTTATCTATCAATGTATATGTTTGTTTGTGGATTATTCACAAACTTCAGTAACTTCTGTGATTTTTAGTGTGAAGAAGCTGATTCAACCAGTAACAGGCATCCTCACACATGCAGTCAAGATTTTTACAGAAATCTCATCGGCAAAGAATGTTGCTCAGCACTGGCAATCTTTATAGAAATTACTGACTGTATGTTTTTAGACAAAGCAATATATCCCTCATCTATTTGGAGGGCAAGATCTCCTGACACAGGTCTCTCGGGAAGCAGTGGAGGCATGATGACAATGAACAGAGAGGACCTAGTCCTTGCAATGGAACTGTATACAGCTTGTGTTGCCTTATAATGGAAGATCCAATTTTTCAATTCAATTCAATTTTATTTGTATAGCTCCAAATCATAATATACATTATCTCAAGTCACTTTACATAGAAGGTCAAGACCTTACAATCCTATTAATATAGAGAAACCCAACCATTCCCACAATGAGCAGCACTTTGGTGACTGTGGAGAAGAAAAACTCCCTTATTAACAGAGAGAAACCTCTAGAACCAGATTCAATGTGGGCGGTCACCTGCCTCGATCGGTTAGGGTGCGCAAAGAAAAAGGGGAATGAGAGGAGGTATGGGTGGAAAAGAGGGGAGAGAAGAGAGAGTGATAGTGGGGAGGGGGAGGAGGGGGAGAGAGAGGCGAGAAAGAACGGGAACACAGTGTAAAGACTGTTAATTATTATTGATAACAGGCACAATTCATATAACAATTAATTACTGAAATATTGTAATTAATAATAGTAATTATGGTAAAAGTTGTTTGGTTCGGGGTCAGAGATATCTGAAATGAGAGAGAATAAGAGAGACAGAGACTATGGGAGCACAAAGTGAAATAGTAATTGACATGTATTAAAATAAATAAATGAGTGTGTGGGGGAGCAGAGAGACAGAAAGAAATGTAGAGGTGCTCAGTGCATGATGGGAGTCCCCCCAGCAGTCTAGACCTATAGCAGCATAACTAAGGGATGGTTCACTACAGCATACCCCCACTGTCCTACTTAGGCTGGGCAGCCATCCAGCCTAACCTACTCCCCCCAATCTGAATGGGAGAGTAAGTAAGCCACAACCATCTGCGCCCCTGGCCTATGGATCACCTTGAATTTAAAGGGTGTAAGGCCAAATAACAAGTAATCTGCGCATTGGTATCTTTCATGCAGTGGAGCTGCTGGAGCGGAGCATGGTCCGAACATAGGGTAAATGGGCGTCCCAGGAGGTAATAATGAAAAGTGTTGACCGCCCAACGGATTGCCAGGCACTCCTTTTCCACCGTGCTGTACTTGGCCTAACGAGTTCTGGCTGATGTACAGTACAAGGCAGTCGACGCCCCTTACCTGCTGGGACACTTATTACTGGTAATGATTCCAAACAATCATTGATAATAATTATTTACCAATTATAGGAAAACACATGTATATTTTAACATGTAACTTGAATTATTTCACTGTTAATCTTATCAATTATTCAAAGCCCCTCTCCGACCTACCACCACCTTGACAGCGCCACTGCATTGAGGAGCATCACTCTGCACCAGTAAACAAGAGACTCTGCTACTCTGCTCTTTTCCAATTACGAACACAGCCTTTTTTTTCATGTGTCTAAATACATGTCTCATAAACTCTTAAGCGAATCAAACGAACATAAAGTAAACTTCAGTCCTGTTCATGTGTTTACTGTCAAAGTGTGTGACGGCAGGTCAGTGGTGGAGTGAGGAGGAAGGACATGTGGCATGGTTCTGTGCAAGGATATGTAATGTGTGTCTGCCTATGGTGTCTGCGCTGATCATCGTTAGCAATAAATCTCAGTGGTGACTATTATAGAACATCTCAGGCAACACATTGGCTACACCTGCTATACAGTCTACATTCAGTGTCCTGTAGAGTACTTTACATAAAGACGTTTATACATCATGTGTATTTTCTATATGACAACTTTTGGTGGAAAAAGACAAAAAATAGTCAAAGTACTTGGTACAATGCTTTTATTAGTCATAACAAAATTACAATATAAGAGATGAACATATACTGTCACTTCCTTCTCTTCACTGCAATCAGTCACCACATTGCCTCCAGTCACTTGACCCTTCATAGACTAGAGTGGAGGCCTCAGAAGTCAGGTTGACTGATGTTATGTGGGACTAGATGAGTTCCTGGCATTATAAAGCCAGGGAGGTCATGGGAGTCAGAGACAGCTCTAACAGGATACAGCCTTTTAGCAAAGATCCCAAGTGAATCCCCTTGCTGCTCAAGGGTTTGCTGCTCAGAATTTTCTGCAAACATTTATTTGAGGTACTGCAGTATAAAGGTAATAACTGTTTGTCAACTTTTTAGATGAGAGATTACTTACTACCTAAATGACCCTTGCCAACTGTTTGATTAATCAAATAACATATTGAAAGATAACATAATTTGCATTGAAGCTGCAGTACATTACATGTATTTAATTAATTTGGACACCAATTGCTTGAGCAACTCTATACATTTTTTTATTTTTACCTTAATATAGTTGCTTCACCATAATTCTGATGGTACACTGACTTGGAATAGAAACAATGGAGCTACTGTAATTCACATTCCTCACCCCAAATGCCTGTTCTTATGTAATGTAACTTTGGTGAGCAGGTATGACCTCCTGTGAGCAGTGTATAACTGACAGATAGTGACAGCTTAAATTACCAGAACCTGGCCCAGAAGGTTCAATAGTAATGCCAAACAGTATTTAAAAAGACTTTGAAGTCATTAAAACCCAGTCAGGAAAGTTTAAAAACATTAAGCATTCTAAATAGTGTGGTGTATTTGTTACAGTGGCAGGGCTTCTGGGATCATGCAGAATGTCCAAACATTTAGCTGTGTTTCAGTTCAGTGAGTGGGAGTACACAGTCAGAGTTCTGATCAAGATATTGACAGGCTGTTTTATGAAAACCACTTAATGGACACAAAGTGATTAAAAGAGATGCTGATGCTATGCTACGAAGGGCGCTGTAGCTCAGTAAACATTAAAGTGGTCCTTTAACTGCATACTTTTTGAAGTCTAACAGTTAAACAGTTGTGTTGTTACAAAACATGCAAAAGGGTATTTCATAAGTACTGCTAATTATTTGCATTTCAAATTATGAACAAAAACAAACCTAAATATCAAATCTTATCAAATATACTGAATTTAAAAGTGTCTTTTCAAAATGTGCAGTTAAAACCATCTATTTCATAGACAACAAAATATATTCCTATTCTAAATTAAGAGCTCTAATTGGTTAGAGAGAGTGTGTGATTGACAAATAGGATTTGAAAAGGTACAGAAAAGAGCAATAAGGTGCATCTGGGATATTAGGGCATATCATGTAAACATGCAGTGTCCAAAGACTGTTGAACCTATGACTTAGTCTGTAAATTAAACTTATAATTTGAACTACCTAAAGGAAGAAACCTATTTCGGGAATGTTGTGGAATTAGTGTGAGGGAGGGTGAGGTTGGGATGGCCATTTTTAGCCCTCCATTGCCGCGAGACATGGCTATGCTAGTGAGCTGTGGATGATACTGCAAATGGACTCCAACCCCTCTCCTTCCAGGAAGGTGCGGTGGTCTCCCTCAATGATGTGGACTGATACTTTGCCATCACATACCTGAATCAAGATAAAAACAGAACTTATTTAGCATTAAATAAAGAAATAATTGAATATATTTATTTGTCACCTATACAAGTTCATATATTCAGTGACTGCATTTATATAGCGCCTTTCTAGCCTTAACAACTCTTAGTAGAGGTATGAACAAACACATTCTTTTAACAGTGTAAACACAAATGTGTCTTGGATGACCACTGACTCAGTGAGTGATATCATCACTTACCCACTACAGTATTTTTTGTCTCTATTTCTCAGAAGTGTAGTGTTTCCTGTCACTGTTATGCCTAATGACACAGTTTTACTTACCAGTTACCCCTGACAACACCTTCCTGAAGAAAACAACAACTCTATAACTGCTAGATGAAATCAAATGCTGGATGTCAAAGAATTCCCTTTAACTCAATGAAAACAAAACAAAAATTATTAAATTTGGCCCTCCTACCTCTGTTTCTATCCTTTCTTGTCCAACTATCGATAATTTAAATCTAAATTAATATCCTGTCTTTTTAATCTTGCTTTTAATTGATTTTTTGATTTAGCCAATGAGTCAAATGAGGGCAATACAAATTAGTTTGATTGATTGATCTGCAAGGCAGCAGAAGCTAGAGTAGTCCATTGATAGGGTGAGGATCATTCATAATCCCACTATCTTTAGTTTTCTTCTCAAGCTTTTACCAGCATTAAGTCTAGTATCCACACACAAGTTCCTCTTCAGCACTGTATCCAGGCTGAAAGAGCCTGGATACCACATGTGCACAGCAAGCATCAGAAGCCAACATTTTTGGGGTTCAGTTAGGAGGGCCCCTTAGCAGAATTTTTCCTAGGGCCCCATGGAGGTCTGAACCGACTCTGTGTAAACAAAGCAACTTGGACTCAMAGGGGACTAGTGCTGGCGATTCATAGTAAATAAAGAGTTTCGCGGAAGATAATGCATTATTTAGAGGCTGTATTGTGGATGCCCCAATCACTTGCGTTATATGGATATACGCCGATCGCGTGTGGATCAAAAAGCGTCCGAAGGACTCCAAGTTACTCCAAACCTTTATGGTTGAGTAGATCTACATACCATATGCTGGAAATAAGGACCAGGTTGAAAAAAAACTAACTTCTCCTTTAACTATCCAATAGGATACAAACACCTACATGCAAAATAGAATGACAGCAATTCTAGCCATTCATGGATGAATAGGTGACACAGGTAGAGGAAGATATATGGGGATGCTGTGGAAGACATCTTCAGACTCGGGGGTGCCAATTGCTCATGTTGCTCTGTGAGCCTTTGTATATTGTTACACCTTCTGGTCTCCTTGATGCATCATGTCTACATTAAAATCTTCTGCATAAGACATCAGCTGCTGCCTGAGTTCTCTTTTTCACCAGCTTCTAGAAAACTTCCATAACTAGTATTTTGCGTCTTCGGCAGCTCAGGCCTCTAGCAGAGTGGCCACAGGCTATGGTTCTGGTTTGGACATCGACATACTGTCAATCCTCCCCAACAGCTAGCTGCAAGGATCTGTAGGAGTGCAGTTTGGCAGTGGGGCAGGTCACAGGCTATGATAGTGAAAATCAGCTTCCAGGATAGACAAGAGAGAGTTGCATTGAGCCAGTAGACTGCACCATCCACGGGGAGGTTGCCCAAGACAGAGTCGCCAGCGGGGGGAATATGAGTAGCCAGGATTAAAAGAAAACATTGGTGGCACGTTGTGGAGTCAGTGTTGTTTGAGGAGGAGATGACCATGGAGGACAACCACATTGAAAAACATTTTTTAAAATCTCGTCTCACTGATGCTACGAGAAGTAGAAAGTGTCCGACTTGACGTCTGTGTTTTTTTACTCCCCCTCTACAGCTGCTGGCAGATCAAATCAGCAGGTCAAGTCAGACAAAGTTAGTTTGACTTGGACTTTTTCATTGCAGATTAAAAGGATGATTAGGAAATCCTTGTTTTTGAACAAAGTTGACTGAGAACTTTCTTTCAGCTGAAAATTTAAACTGTAGTGTGAAGTGACAGATGCAGACAGATGCCAGTGGTTACATATTAAGTAAATTGTCTGTATTTATGTAGCATTTTTCTTGTCTTGATGACCACTCAAAGCAATTTACAGTACAGTTATTACATTCACACACATTCATACAGTGCATACACATCTAATATATTTATTTTTAAATCCGAGGTAAGAGGTGGATATTATTCCTGTGTTGGAAATTTTTCCAGTACAAAATGGGGGTTTGGCTTTTAACACCTTACATTTATGACTATACGGAGCAGAAAACATATCTGAATTCTTAGAATAAAAACATATCAGCCAGTTAGAGCAGAGTTGTAATGTCACAGAGGCGCCCCCAAGGTGGAGGAGAGCAACTGCACACTGACTGTAGCTGGCTCACTCCCACAATGTTTTAAGGTCATGTGACAGGGTGCTTGCACCATTTAAAAAAAATCTGATTGAATGCTTTTGACATTTTTAAGACCCTAATAAATGTAATTTAAGACCCTAAAAATGTCAAAACTGAGAATCTATTTAATACCTATTAATAAACTTAATAAGATATCAGAATAATAACATTGAGTGAGGGTAACTCTTTACTATTTACTGTTTTCTTCCATGTTTAATAGTTAAACATCTGTTTATTTAGTTTTTCATTTTGTTAAATATAAGATTATGCCTTTAGAATAATAATAACAATAATAAACAATTGTCAGTGTGTGAATCATTTAGCATTGACAATGGTCAATAGTGTTGGCAGCAATACTAATATTTGGGGGGCCCTAAAATCAAATTTTGCTTAGAGCCCCATATCGACTCTTCTCTAGAGAGCAATATTAGAGCTGCAGAATTTAGCAGACTGCAACTGTTGTGAATACATTGACTGCAGAATCTTCTTGTGCGTTGTTCATATATGAAAGTTAAACTCCGGATAAAGTCCAAACCCTATTGTGCGAACATTCTCCAGAGTTAATGTCTTAAAAAAGGGCTTATGTGATTTGGCAGCAACAGTATGTGATTCTTTTAAAATGACAGCATAATGCAGACCTTCTTTCATCCACAACCTTACTATATGTGTGTATCAGTAGGGTATTGCTTATCAAGCCTATGTAGAGTGACTCTCAACAATGCAACAATGATGAGAAAACTAATCAAATCTTTTTCCTTTTAGAAAAAAACTAAGAAAATGAAGAAAACATGACACTCAGTTAACTTCAAAATCTTACCTTCAGCAGAAGTATATTTTCAAAAAAAGTATTTTTTTCCCTTTGCTCCCTGAATATTTCATGATCTCTAACAGATTAATTCAGGTTTAAATAGTTGTGTGCTAGTGCATGTTACCTCACTAAGGTTGTAGTCAGCTCCCAGGTTTTGTTCGTATTCACTGCTGGTTTTGGCACGGAGTAGTGTCACATTGCCATGGTATTTTGTCGCGGGCACATAACCATCAGCAGCCTTTAGTTTGTAGTAGAAGGTAGTAGCGGCAAAGTGCAGTGAGTCTCGGCTGATGTTCTTGTGGCTGGAGAGGATTAGGTCCACTGCCTTGTTGACACGGGCCTCCAGGTCTGACAGTGGGAGAAGAGTCTCCAGAAGCTGCAGAATAAGAGGGAGAATTCAGACACAATTTGGATGAAGAACTCTGCAGAAATTAACTTGTTGAGGCAATATAGAGAAATAGATCCAACTGATGATTTAAGGACAGACGTACATAGGTTACACATGATGTTGTAGACATGAAAATGTCTTAGATGTCTCCCAAAACACAGTCTATTATCTACATTGTATTCTGTTCTGAATTTTATTACAAAATGTCCTTATAAAAACACATAACAGTAAATATATCTTACAGACACATACAATATGACAACCAAACAATAACACATCCACCCCCCAACCAAAAAACAAATAAAGGCTACAAATGAAACTACAATAAATAAAAAGATGAGGATCACACTTAAATATACCAATATTGACAAAAATATCTTGTATGCAATCATTGTATCAGATACTAGAGCATCTCCTTTTGCTTCCATTACATGGGTTAAGTCTTCTCTAGATAACATATGAAGGGAAACCAGATGTTTTGTGATTACTTGCCCCTGATAGTATATGTGAGTTTTTCTAAAAGCAGAGAAAATTCAGAAAGCCATTAACCTAGACTTGGCCTACCCATCTTTTTCTTCATGGTACATTCAAGGTTTTTGATTGTTTTGGCCAACAGCACAGCCATTTCTAAAAATATTTATTGTCTCATTTTAATGTTGTTATTGGTTGGGTATAAGCCAAATAAGAAGAGCTTTGGTTCTAATGTATTATTATGATAATTATGGAAGTTATCTGGGGTCAAATATGTTTATATTTGACCATTTTTTTCTGCAGTGTTTTTTGGCATGTGGTCTCCCTACACAATGTGGCATCCTCCACTGTACAATCATCAGTGTACAATTCAAACAACTAAATATGTCAAACAATCAAAACGCCTTAATTGAGAAGTTTTTATAGTTCTTTATTGGATTTTTTTCTTTCTTTTGGGTTCAATAGAATAATTAACCTGTTGTCCTATGTCTAACCTCCTCATCTGATCTTACTGCAATAGCTAATGGCTCAATTTGTATAATAAATAACAATGGGGGTAGAGGATATCCTTGCCTACATCCTAGATTTATCTCGACAGAGTTGTAGATACTACTATTTTGTAGTTTGGTATAGAGGAGTCTTACCTACTTTTATTATCTTGTATTCTGGCCCAAAACCTGCCAGAATTTCAAATTGATACTACCATTGGACTCTGTCAAAGGCTTTTTGTCTAGCTTTTTAACTAGCTAGGCATTATGATCTTCTGGACCTTTGCTTGAGGACATTTTCTCGATATGGATCTCTCCAAATTTCAATAAAATACCCCTTAAATACACAGTATTACACACCGCCACTAGGAAAGCACAGAGGAATAATGAAAATCTTTGGTGAGCAACTATGTGTGTGCACCTCCATCACAGACAGCATACCTTGTTGTACTCAATGCCAGTGAACTGCTGGATAAAGGCACACAAAGCTTCAGTTTCAGCTTCAGACTCGTTCCCAGGTGTCAGCTTGGCTCTGTAGCTCTGGAAACAAAATACTGATTTAACTTGCTATAATCAATGTAGTTATTTCAATCTTCATTTTTTCCCCCTAAAAAAAATATTCACCTATTAATTTATGCTGAGTGCATTCTTTGATTTATTGATGATCCCATTTAGGTTAGTCTCTAACAACCCTCTAATACAACAAAATGTGTAAAATGTTTTTTTCTCGGGTACATGGTTACATGTCATTACACCAGGTCATATTGTGGAATCTGTGATTATTTTGTATATGTGAATGTGTTTTATCTAACCTGTGTGTACGCTGCCACATAGGAGTGTGATCCATCAAGCAGAAAGAGGTACTCTACAGACTGATTCTGGGTCTGCAGCTGAGAACACATTTCAAATGCCACACAGGCACCAAAGGAGTAGCCAGCAATTCGATAAGGCCCTTCTGGCTGAACGTGTCTGATACAGGTGACATAGTAGGCTGCCAGGGATTGGATGTTGTCCAGAGGCGCGTCTTGGAGAGAGGGGATAAACTAAGATGAGCTTAGTTGTACACTGTAGAATCAGTATAATGTAAAATCACACACATCATATACATATTTTCATATCTGTGTAAACTTTACCTTTTGTGCACTGTAAGCCACAGCAAGGCATGCTGAGCTTGGAGGCAAGTGTCTTAAAGGCGGCAATGGTGCCCTCAATCGGATGGACCAGGAACAGTGGTCTCTCTTGGCTCTGAATGTTGTTGAGTGGTGTCACTGTGGGACTATTGGGGTTTACTAATAGCTGGGTCCAATCAGGCTCCAACGAAAGGTTAACGCCATCTCTCTTAGCATGATGAGATTCTGGATAGTTGGAGGAAGGAAAGACAGCTTGTATTCCCAGGGTGAGAGAAACACATGATTTTAAAAGCAACATGCTATAACAGAAAAATAGTGGGAAAAGCACAAGAACACATTCATTCTTCATCTGTATGTGTCAGACAATAGTGAATGCAGTCTAAAATACAACACAGGCAGAATATTTCAAAATAGACACATTACAATATCCTTCTGGCCAGTGTGGATATTGGCCAGCAGTGTTTAAGGTTCAGTGTGTAGAATGTAGTGACATCTAGTGGTGAAGTGTCATGTTGCAGCTGACTACCCCTCACCTCACCCTCCCCTTCTAAACTGGAAGGAGAACCTGTGGTAGCCTTCAGATATCATAAAAACTCCAAAGGTGTTTAGTTTGTCCAGTCTGTCAATTTTCTGCCAATAGATCCATTTCACCTAAATCGTACACACTGAACCTTTAAATTATATTATGATGTAGG